CTGGTCCACATCGGTGCCGGTGCTGTGTGTAATAATGGGATTAAGAGGTTTAAATGAGGATGTAATGGAGCACATGGCTAAGCGTGGTTTCGGTAATGCGTGTCGGTATACGCATACGCCACGTACGTTACATCATAAAAAGACGCAAGAGTGAGAGTAATTGCAGCGATATCAAAATGTTCACTGCCAAATGTGTTGAATTTCTGACTTGTATGGTGATCGAACGTTATCGTTACTTGTTTTATATAGAAATTAAGCTTTATGTTTCGTATGTATTTTTTTATTGTATTTTTATTGTTGTTTTGTTTCTGTATTGATTGTGGGTTGTTTAATTGGACATAAATACGTTTCTCTCGTTGGGGTTGAGTTAGGAAAGTATTAGGGTAATATATTTTTTTGGGGAATTGTTTAGGTTTAGGTTGAAGTGTAGATCAGCGGGGATGCTGAATCGATGACAGGGTAGTCATCGTCTTGGGGAAGGGGGAGATAATGTAACATATGTTTTACAAATGCGTCGACAGAGCGTCGCGCATCTTGTGCGGCTAGATTGATGTTATAGGGAGAATGGTAAACGTGTTTTAGGTCGGGCGTTTCTAGGGTCATTGTGAAATGGGGGTAGGACGCGGTCTGGGAGAACGGGTGACATGTGCGCTCAAGATGTAGGGGGTTTCGGGGTAATAGGTTAGGGAGATTGAGGGGGAGAGATGTAGGAGTCGAGGAGTCTGATTGTGGTCGGGGGAGTAAGCACACGCGCTTACGCGCGTGAGCGCGTTTCTTTGTCTCTTTATGCAAGATGAACACACTGTTTGCGAGCATATATTAAAGTTTATTCAGGTTATACCACACAAGTTTGGATTTCTTCGTCATCATTTCTACATCGAACATTAATTCAACGTTATAACAGCGCTACACAACGTGTACTATTACAGTCTATTACACTGTTTCACTCTGTGCATGGGCTCCCCCTTGTCTTAACGGGCAGTCGAGTCATAAAGTGCGTGTACGTCTTCTAAGCTGCATGCTCTGATTCATGCGAGCGTGCCTGTACACTGCGCACGTGGCTGTGTGTGCGCGCGTGCGTGCCTGCGCGTGTGCCTGCACGTGCACGCGTGCCTGCGTGTGTGCCTGCGTGTGTGCCTGCGCGCGTGCCTGCGCGCGTGCCGGCGCGCGTGCCTGCGTGCGCGCCTGCGTGTGTGCCTGCGTGTGTGCCTGCGCGCGTGCCGGCGCGCGTGCCTGCGTGCGCGCCTGCGTGTGTGCCTGCGTGTGTGCCTGCGCGCGTGCCGGCGTGTGTGCCTGCGCGCGTGCCTGCACGCGTGCTTGCACGTGTGCCTGCGCGCGTGCCTGCGTGTGTGCTTGCGCGCGTGCCTGCGTGCGTGCCTGCGCGCGTGCCTGCGCGCGTGCCTTTTATGTGTGCACCGGGCCCTGGACCCCGGCCGCAAGGGACTTCGCACTCGTGATATGCACTTTGCGCACATAACTTCTCATGATATCTAAATTACTCGTCTAAAGTTCCGAGTTTTACATGTTTGAATTTTAGGTTGTGGACGACTCTAGTACACTGTCACTGTTTGTCCGTTTCTCACCTTCTCCTCTGCCTCTGGGTTCTCTAGATTCCTGTCTGGGTGATATTGTAAGGCAAGCTGAAAAACAGCAAGTTATTTAGCAGCTACCCAAGTAACAAGTATTGGGGATGAACGAAATCTTGACAAATTTAGCAGAGTGGAACGTGCAATATCTCAGCATATGGACTACCGGGAAAATGTAATACCACACCATGTTCAAACGCTCACCTATTACACACTAGTTATTTGTGCGATATTAGGATTATTGATATTTAAACTCCTTATTGATTTACCGATATCAGCTATCGATTATTGCAATGTAACGATAGTTTAAAGCATTGTTAGACTCCTAATACGTACCAGCCTGTAGGCGTTTTTAATGTCTTGAGGAGTTGATGTTTTTGTCACGCCAAGTACATTATATAACGATTCTCCAGAGGTGCTGTGATAATTAAAAAAATTTTATGTTGAATATGTTGCTTTATAACTTACCATACACATCTATGAAGTATGAATAACTGATAGGTAATTTCCTCTGTTTATATACATTATACCAGGAGTTAATAAAGACAAACATTTGTCTTCATTAACTCCTGATTATACGTACTTAACATTTAAATAAATGCAAACATATGTTAACAGGTATGGCACATACTCAAAAAGTAACCTAACTAGAAGATCATTACGGAAAGCCATAATGCTGATATATACTGTCAGGAGTTAATAATGACAAATTTTTAATTATTTGTCATTATTAACTCCTGATACTGTGCAACTGCATATCTACTAAATTATCTAGCACAATTGATCAATGGGAAAGATATAATTATTGAGGTTGTCTTTTGGACAGCTTTATTTTGCTGATGAATGGTAAAAACAATCAAGGGTGATAACACACTGCACACCAATAAGTGTTTATTGCAGAACCCCCTTACAAAAAGAAAGACAAAAAGATACATCTGGAAATTGCCTTCGTTCCTGAATCTACAATTTTAAATGGGACTCGATGTTCAGTGAACACAGACAGACAGTCCTGATTTTGAACATTCTTATTTCTAAAATATAGGCCTAACCTTGTAATTTGTGTTTAATTTTTACTCACTATCAAATTGCCGCTATATTTTTTAGTTGACACAATACTTTCATTTCTAGAATAGTGATAACAGCTCAGGATTCAATATACTTTGAGAAAATAGCTAGGTATTTTTTAATATTACGAGACTGACATACAATTTTATTAGGGAACCAGTGTACATTAAAACAAATGCTCCCGATCAGATTTCGAAACCGTTTTAACTGATATTTTATGCACTGAACAATGCCAAATAAAATTATGAATAAAAACAAATGGTCTTATAATTCATTGTCGGACAAGACGGTGTGATTCATACGAGGGTGGATAACAATTTAAAGTTGTGATTATTCACACCATAAGTGATGAAACTTGTTTTCTTAAAATTTGAGCACAATACATTATCATAATATAGCCACAAAGTACCTTCTTGTGTCTCACTGCGAAGCGAAAAGAGAACACGTGAACAAATGCCAAAGCACATTGACAGTGGATTTACAACCCAGATACGTTTATCGATATTACAAGAACGATTAGCGAATAGCGGCAACAAGCAGCATCGTCAATATGAATATCATGATCAGATCATGTATATATGAAAATGTCCGCCATCGGCAAATAGTATAAATATCGAATAGATTTTGCACTTACGAATCGCTGTCGTGTTTCGTAGACATCTCCTAATATTAACATGGACTAAAATTGAACAAGATATGGTATTTTTACGTTATAAGTTATTAACTGGATTGATCGAAAACAAATTCGAGTGTAGTGGCCCTACGTGAATTATATACATGTGCGTTTTGAATGCACTATTATTTTGGGATCACCCTTTGCTCCCGGTGACAACGCGGGACTGTGTTGCGTGGCAGCAGGAGATAAAACCAAGAGACGAATAAACACTGTAGACGCTAGTTTTAGGTACTGTATACGCTGTATATTTCGCGAATTTCGCGAACGCGTCCCCGACCGCGAAAATAACAACACGCGAATAAATCATACCGAATAATTAATAATTCATCGACCGCGAAATTAATCGCTCGCGAAATTGTCCGTCACGTCTGAATTCGCGAAAATATCTGTACGCGAAAAGCAAATGCAGGGCCGTAGGCTGAGCAAATTCCTAGAGGGGCTGTGGCGGATCCAGGATTTTAATGAGGGGGTGAGAAACATGAGAAGGTCGGGAGGTCCTCCCACAGAAAATTTTGAAAATGTAGATCGCAGGAGATGGTATTTGAGGCACTTTTGATTAAAGGGACAAGAGCAAGGAGATTAAAAACGCCGAATGTCTCAGAATAACACTAATTTCAAAATTCACACGCACCCCCGGCACGTCCCACGCAACCACGCAACAGCACCCACAAAATAGCACACACATCCGACAAATCCACAGAACAACACCGGCATCATAATGACCGTTCATGCCACGCCCTACTATCGTAATATAACGACTAAACTACATATGATAGCACATCATTCATGCAATTATTACTGGTGAACACACCAAGGACCAATGGACAGCTGTAGAAAGCTGGAGAAGCTGTCGAAGCCGTAGGCTTTAGTCCTTTAGAAGGGAAAAATGCTGCTAATGCAATCCTGTCTAACCGAGCTATTCTAGACTTGCTAATTTCAAATAAGAATACCATATTACGCAAATTCGGCAGCTATTTTCCGGCGTTTGTGAATTCTATGTATCATTTGCTCTAGATATGTGTATGGAGTGATAAAGAAGCAAAACAAAATTGGCGTGTATAACGATGTTCGTTTAGCCCGCCAGCGTATGGCAGGTAGTCTATCAAGGCTACAATATTTAACCCGTACCGAGTCACAAGCCAAGCGCGTCACACAATACAAAAACCATTCTGTAATAAACAGAGACCCAATCGAAACACGCTCACTATGTACCTACCGAGTGAGACAGACGGGCCGTAACCAGACGGCATACTGGGCAGCGCGAAAAGGGACATAAATGATATTGTATGTACCCGTCATTAAATCGATTTATGTAGCGCTCATTAAAATCAAACCATACACGATGCAACTTATTTGTGGCTCCAGGCCAATTCACAACATTGGAATTATTACGCGTCATTAATCGATTTAATGGTAACCGTCACTAAATCATTTATGTACCGTCACTTAAATCAACCAGGCGAGAAAGAGACATAATATACTTCCTAGCATAAATTAATGCAATTTACACGCCTTACGATACAATAGATCCTGCGCTGACGTGCGTGATACGCCGCGTGTACGTGCGTGTACGTGCGTGTACCGCGTGCGCGTGCGTTGTAAGCGTGACGTGTACGCCCGCGTGTACGTGGCGTGTACGTTGTCAGCATGTACGTGCCGTGTATCGCAGCGTGTACGTGCGTGTACGCCGGCGCTGCACTGTGCGTGAACGCAGCATGCGCGTACGTGGGCAATGTACCGCAGAACCGCGTGTACGTGCGTGTACCGTGTACGTGCGGGATGTAACCGCGCGAGGAGGGGAGCAGGTGACACGCGGACAAGTAGTAGGACGTGTACCTCGAGTGTACGCGGGATCGATGGAGGGGGTGACGTGTATCTGCGTACGGTAGAGAGGAGGAGATCGATGTGACGTGGCGCGGGAGTAAGAGAGAGGAGGAGCGAGTGAGTGAAGGGAGAGGGAGGACGATGATAGTAGCAGAGAGTAGGTGAGGATAACAGCCGACGAGTGGAGCAGAGGGTAAGGAAGAGGAGCAGATGCTGGATATGAGGAAGGGACGTGCAGAGGAGAGAGGAGAGCAGCGCGCGTACGTGCTAGTTAGGAACCGCGTGAATACGTGACACAGGTGTACGGCACGCGACGTAACGTCGATAGATACCGGCGTGACGTGCGTGTACCCGCGTGGTGAGGTGGCGGTGTTTCTTGCGTGTACGGTGCGTGTACGCCGCGTAGACGTGCGTGTGATCCTGTGTGTACATGCGTGTCCGTGGCGTGACGTACGTGCGTGTACCGCGTGTACGGGCCCGCATGGCGTGATATCCTCCGTGTACCCGCGCGTGTACGTGGCGTGTATGCTGCGTGTACCGTGGCATCGTAGCGGTGCGTGTACCACGGTGTACGTGCTGTAGCCCCGCGTGCACCAGTGCCGTGAGCCTGCGTGTACTGCGCTGCTGTAGCTCTGCGTGTCGTGCGTGTACCCGCGTGTATGCGCTTG